AGGATGTGCCCTAGGCTGGGCAGGAGGGCATGGTGGGATGCAGTGACATCATGTGGCTGGAACGCAGCAGTTTGCCTTGACCAGATTACTTCCTGAGGACTGGCAAGTCTCTGCTCTTTTCACTGCCTGCCAGAAAACCATATCTCAGGTCTGAATTTTCACTTCCTGTAGAGATGCCAAGAATGTTTCCAAGTGCCTGTCTCTCCTGTAGCATCTTCCTTCTGTATCCCTGTCTTCATTGGGGTATGGCTGTCCACAGGGCCAAAGTAGAATGTGGGTGTCATCTTCAACTTCCTCTGCCAGTTACATGTAATGCACATTGGTTCAGTTGTTCCTATTACCCATCTATGCCTTAAAGTCACTTCTGGGTCTTGGAACATTTCAACAAGACCAAGAATGTCTACCTGTAATCCTAGGGGATAAGGCAGGAGAATCATAAGGCAAGCATGGTTTATAACAAGACCACACCTCTAAAAGGAAAAGAAGTGGCTGGGGAGGACGGCTCCATGGCCAAAAGCACTTGCTACTCTTATAAAAGACTCTGTGGCTCCAGTTCCCAGAGAGCTGCTGCCACTTCTGACTCCAACAGCACACACATGACACATTTATGCCCATTCAAACAAAATACTCATGTACATAAAATAAAAATAGCCAGGTATCAGTGGCACATACCTTTAATCCCAGCACTCAGAAGGCAGATGCAGGTGGATCTCTGTGAGTTTGAGGCCAGTCTAATCTACAAGAGCTAGTTCCAGGACAGCTAGGACTACCCAGAGAAACTGTCCTGAAAAACTAAAATAAATAAATACAAGTCTCCTTTAGAAAGTAAAAGAAACAAACAAAATAAGAGAACAAGGTATGATGGCTTGAATCTGTGAGTCTAGCAGGAGACTAAAATGGAAGGTTGACCATGAGATCAAGGTCTCCTCTTGTGGGCTTGTATTTTTATACCCTGGCAAATTACCCGTTGTACACGGAAGAAAAAGCTGATGAAGCCTTCTAGACTGGATTGATCCAGACCCCAATTCTGGTGTTGCTGGACTCTTGGTGATACTAAGTTTAGAGGTTAGACGTCGTGGCTGTAGATCTCGGCGACTCCACATTCCTTTCGTTGTCTCTTGCTGCACTGTTGGGATTCATCTGTCAGCGTCCCTTGCCCAGACTCTGCAGCCCGTCTAACCGTCTCCCAGCCTTCAGTGGCTCCAGCTCCAAAACCTTTGTCATGGTGGGTTTATAGCAGCTTAGAGCTGCACTTGGTGTGAGACCTTTCAGGACTGCTTCAGCCTTCCTGGCCTTACTTGTGCGCTCTGCTCCAGGAATGTTACGCGCACCCTATACTTCTCTGCCGTGCTTTTCCTCCGCCTTCCCACTTGTAGACATTCATTCTGGAGTGCTCCCTTCCCTCACACACTTTCTCACTTTGAGTGGTTTGTCTTTATCCTGTGCTCTTGGCTCGTCCTGTGAATTTGTTGCCACACCTACCGTAGCCTACTTTGTTTTTGTGGTCACATGTCTTGTGAGTCATGCAGAAATAGGATGTTCCTAACATGGCCCTCTGCTGCCTCTGCCCTGCTGGTGCTCTAAGATGCAGAGAGATGCAAGATGCACGTCAGCTCTCCACTTACTCTTTGCAGCGTCTACTCCGGTCACCAGTCTGTCTTGATTCCTCCTCTGGAGCTGGAGAACAACCTTTTCCTCTGGCTCGCCACCGTCAACCAGTACAAGATAAGGGACACTTTCTGCTCCTACTCCGTGATGGAGCTCTGCACCAAAGGGCTGGGGAACCAAGTGGAGGTGCTAAAGGTGAGGAGCAGCCCCAGCAAGTGATGTCCTAAGAGGCTTGATGATTGGGCCAGGGCTTGGTAATGCTGGAGCAGAGGGTGGTAGACAGACAAGCTTGTCTGCCCTTTGTCTTCTTTCTAGTCAGATGACTGAGATCAGAGAGTTTAACTTTACTCTTCCTTAATTTAATGCATTCTTTCAAAGCCTGATTTTATTCTTTGTGGAGGGGTGGGGATCTATTAATGGGAAACTCACCTCCGATAGATTTTTTTTTTTCTTCCCAGTAAAATGAAAACCTCAGAATACTGGAGGTTGGGTACTTCCTAAAGAAAAGGCTTATGTGTGTTTCCAGTGACCATGTGTGAGAAAGTCAAGTACTAAATTCTCTTTAACAGAGAAACAGGACCCCAAGAACTAAAACAAGAGGTAGAAAGTTAGGTCCAAGGTGCTAAAAAATGAGGAGAAACATGAGAGTAAGTGGGCAGGACCGGAAATACACTACCAAAGGAAGAGAAACCTGAGTTTGGGGTTTTGGGCAATGAAACTCAGGGTCCTGTGTGGCCTAGACTAGTGCTTCTCTCCCCAACCCCAGCCCTGTCACAGCAGACACAGAGCAATCCGATGTCCCAGTGGGTGACTGACTGTGGAAGGGGTTTTAGCATTTTCTTTCTGAAGCTGCGTCTCCATTTCTGGGCTAAGAAAGTAACTCTTGGCTTTTCCTGAACAAAAAGGGATCTTCTTAACCATGTTTCTTCCAGACCAGAGGGATCAACCTCTCCTGCATCAGGACGTGTGTGGTGGTCGCAGAGGAGCGACCGCGCATAACCCTGCAACAGTCTTTCTCCAAACTCTTTAAAGACATCGGTCTGTCCCCTCGAGCTGTCAGCACCACGTTCGGCTCCAGAGTCAACGTAGCAATCTGTTTACAGGTGACACCGCAAGCTCATTCTTGCTGTTAGTGAAGCAGGCCAGCAGGCTCCAGAGAGCTGCCTGCTCCTGGTGTGAGTGCTCCAGGGGCTTCTCTTGTTTTCAGAGACAGGGATTCTCTGTGTAGCCCTGGCTGCCCTGGAACTCTCTTTGTAGGCCTTGAACTCAGAAATCCAGTTCCGTGTGTCTCTGCCTCTTGAGTGCAGATTAAAGGTGTGTGCCACCAAGCCCAGCTACTACACAGCGTGGCCTTCTGTTTTTCTATCTCCTACATGTTCTGCCTTTTAAAAAATAAACCTGCATCTATTCTTTTACCCTGTTGTTCTTGGTGGGTCTAGAACAGTCTGATTTTATGCTGCTTGGAGGCTCCTGAGGCCAGTGAGTGCAAGGACAAGAGAGAAAGAAGGTGGCCAAGACTTGGCGTCTCCTGTGACCATGGTTAAGTGGCTTGCAGGAAGTGTCACGATACTTTCCTGTGGGATCTCATTGTGTCCCTTGCTCCCATCTGTTTTGGCATGGTGGCTTCTCTAGTCCCTGCTCTGAGCCCTGCACCTGCACAGGAAAGCCCCCTGCATTTGGTATTGTTCCATTGCTTCAGAGACATCTAAGGATACCAGGGCCAAGGTTCCCCCATCTTCTGGCTTTGCCAGAGTGTAGGTTTCAGGGGCCTCCTTGCATCTGTGAGATGTGCTACAGAGGCCGTTCATTCAGCCTTAAATAAACATGTGCTGGTTTGTTCTTCTTTAGGGAACCTCGGGGCCTGATCCGACAACTGTGTATGTAGACTTGAAGTCGCTGAGACATGACAGGTACGGTGAACAAAGGGCTCGGCCTCAGGGTCAGCGCCCCATCCTCTTCATGTCTGGATTTCCAGGACTGGTGGAGGAAGAGAAAGGATTCATGTCTATTATTTATAAATGATAGAATTTTTCTTATAAAAAGAAAGCTTCATTGGCATTTGGTGGGTTTTTGTTTTCGTTTCTATTTTGTTTGTTTCCACACAAAGGGGTGGGATAGGGTTTGAAATGCCAGTTTGTTAGGTAGCCTAAGATGGCCTCAGATTTACAGTCATCTTCCTGCCTCTAATTCTGCTAGATTATTACAGGCATGTGGACCATGCATGGCCTGTTGCTTTGTTCTGTAATTAAAATATAATCTTCGTTCCTAGCTATCTAAAAATACTTTTGTGTGACTGGGCATGGTGGTGCATGCAGAGCTCTGAGAGTTTCATGCCAACCTGGTCTACATAGTGAGTTCCAGGACAACCAGAGCTGTACAGAAAGTCTCTGTCTACATTTAAAAAGGAAAGTGTCTTTGCTCTGCAGTTTAAAGATAAAGATGAGAGCGATGATAAATGAAGCAGAACAGGGTCTCTGAAACAGCACTGCATCTAACTCCAGGGTTGTAAAGCCAGCTTCTCCCCAGCTCAGGATAAGCCACAGGTCTCAGAGAGAGAGTGCCTTGTCTCACAAAACAAGGTGCATGTTCCTTGAGTAAATGAGTAACAACACCTGGGGTTGTCTTCTGGCCTACACCGACATACAGACACACAGACATACACACACACATGCCTAATCACCACGGTGCAGCCTAGTGTATACCTGCTAAGCTGGCTAGCCCCGTGGATACACTGGTCTCCACTTCCCAGCACTGGGATCATAAGCACGTGCCAGCACACTTGGCTTCTTACGTGATGCTGAGGCTGATACTCATGTCCTCGTGCTTATGCAGCATTCTTGCACTGGAGAGATTTGCCCCTCTGCTCCAAAGACTTCACCATGCCTGGAACACTTGTGGTTGTCACAATGGGAGCTGCTACTGAAATCTAGCAAATAGGGCCAGGATTGTTAACACCCTCACCAAAATCTGTCTGACCTGTAGCATCAAGAATACAGAGTGAGCCGGGCAGTGGTGGCACACACCTTTAATCCCAGCACTCGGGAGGTAGAGGCAGGTGGATCTCAGTGAGTTCGAGGCCAGCCTGGTCTACAGAGCGAGTTCCAGGCAGGACTATTACACAGAGAAACCCTGTCTCAAAACAAAACAATAACAACAACAAAAGTACAGAGTGTAAGCAAACCCTGCTCTGCTGGGAACAGATGGTGCCACCTAGAGGCCTTGGGGAGGCAGCCACAGTGGTGAACCCTGTTTTAGAAAAGACTGCATACATTAACTACTGTTTCTCTGCAGGGTCCGACTTGTGGAACGGGGTGCCCCTCAGAGCCTCCTGCTCTCCGAGTCTGGAAAGGTACTCTATTCTGCCAGCTGCTGGGGAAGGGTAGGCTGAAGCTTGAGGGAAAGCCTAAGGTTAATTCCACAGTCTCGTCTAAGTGGATGGCTTCATTAAGTGTACATCGTCGTGAAGACAGATATGCACTCATCTCCATATTGTTTAAACCCCATGGCCTGCTATTCTTACTGATAACCCAGAGAAATGTGTTCATTGTGTACAAGTGCATAGATAAGTAGCACCTAAAAAATGTCACATCTATTTAAACATCAAAGTTGAAAGGCAAGTCAGGAGGTGCCGACTGTGAGGGAGCAGAGCAGCTGTGCCTGTGCAGGGAACATCCCTCTTCACTTCATCCCGCCCTCCGTCCTCACCACCCCTCCGTCCTCACCACCCCTCCGTCCTCACCACTTCATCCCACCCCTCCGTCCTCACCACCCCTCCATCCTCACCACTGCATCCCTATCCTCAGCATCTCCCCTACCCACATTGTCCCTCTTCCCTGCACTGTCCAGACAGAGGACAGGATTGTGATGACCTCTCAAGGTTCCTGCTAGGAATTGTGAGGCACAGACAGAAAGTCAAAGGAGATCTTACTTAATCTATCCAGCAGATGTCACCCCAGAGGAAGCCGACTTTAGTTTTTCTGCTGTGTGAACTGCTTGTGTGGGCTGTGCCATTAACCTCCCCACATCTGCGGTTGGGTGCACAGTCTTCAGGAATGCTGTGTCCTGAGGGCAGGCTGAGGCTCCAGGGAACTGTCCTTTCATTCCCTTCCTCCAGGCTTTAGATATTTAAGCCCTGGTAGCCAGTCTCAGACTTTACAGACCCAAGCTAACAATATCAACAAGGTGAGACAGGTGACCAGAATGGCTGGCCAGCCCACCTGTCTTTTTGCCCAGATAGGCCCTTGTACATACTAAGCAAGCAGCTTACTGCTGAGCTACAGTCCTGACCCCAGAAAGATCTTCTGGAAAGCCTGAGCCGTTTGCTCATCAGCACTTAGTTTCTTTTCCTCCTGAAGATAGAAGTGTGACGTCTCTCGAGAAGCTAGGGCATGAGATCCTTCTCTGTGTTCTCACTACTGCAGCTCCCCAGCCTGCAGCCCCCACTGACTCTGGTGTGGTCTCCAGGTGGGCTCCCCTGCTGTTTTAACTTTGGAAAGGGTTTACCCAGAAGGGTACTAGTCTCACTTTTGGGAACCTGGGCAGAAGTTTCTCAGCCTCTGAAGAGATGGCAGCCTGCATCTGCTTAAGTTGGAGAGTGGAATTTATTGGTCCTTGAGTCTCAACCAAAATGAGGAAGATTGACCAGGGACAAACAGAAAAGTGCATCAGGGCACCTTGAGTAATGGCGACTCCTGACATTTTAGTCCCTAGAGGTAAAGGCTCAGGTGCTAGAGGTCATTGGTTATTTTGCTTTTGCGGGGTTGGGGGTTGAAACCAGTCCTCAGGCATGCTAGGTAGGCTTTAGCCAGTAAGTGAAGCCACAGTCAGAGCTGGGAGCTTTGACTGAACTGAGCATTTGTATTTCTGCTTTGATTCTTAGATCTTACCTGGAGTAAAAGTTGTTATTGTTAATCCTGAGACCAAAGGACCTGTGGGAGACTCTCACCTGGGGGAGGTAGGTGTGAATCTCATGTTCACTCTGAAGTCAGGACTCTGATCTGGGAGAGGTAGGTGTGAATCTCATGTTCACTCTGAAGTCAGGACTCTGACCTGGGGGAGGGAGGTGTGAATCTCATGTTCACTCTGGTATTGGTAGCCAAGATTTTAAAGATTTTAGAAACCACACACTACAAGCAAACAGAACTAGACTGAATGAACTCCATTCCCTCCATTGGGAATATCTATTTTTCCTAGAAGGGGCAAAAGGAAGAGGCTGATAATCAAGACTGGGTAGAAACAGTCTCAAGTTTGTTCACTACCATCCCTTTAGCTAAAAGCAAACCAGCCAAATGGTACCTGTTCCCACCTATGAAGGATTGGAACCAAGAGGAGCCATGTATATACATTTTTTATAATTTACTTATTATTATGTATACAATGTTTTGTCTGAAGACCAGAAGAGGGTACCAGATCTGTTACAGATGGTTGTGAGCCACCATGGGGTTGCTGGGAATTGAACTCAGGACCTCTGGAAGAGCAGTCAGTGCTCTTAACCTCTGAGCCTTCTCTCTAACCCTGTATACATTTTAGTTGTTGTTGTTGTTTTGTTTTGTTTTTTGAGACAGGGTTTCTCTGTAGCTTTGGAGCCTGTCCTGCAATTAGCTCTTGTAGACCAGGCTGACTTCGAACTCACAGAGATCCACCTGCCTCAGCCTCCCGAGTACTGGGATTAGAGGCATGCGCCACCACCACCCAGCAACATGTATATATTTTTAAAGTCACATAAATGTTAAGAGTCCACCCCCAGTGTCATATTTCCTCTAACAAAGCCACACCTCCTAACCCTTCTAATTCTTTTAAATGGTGCCACAAATGAGTGATCCTATGGGGGACATTCTGACTCACACCAGCACAGCCAGTGGCTAGCCTGTCAAAGCTGGGCAGGCTGCTTACTTCCCTAGACTTGTTTGCTCAGCTTTAATAATGATGACATGCACCTCACAGAAGGAATAAATGCTGTGATAGTCGAATACATCATCCCTGTATCTGCAAAGCACAGAAACAGTCTTTCAAGTTTTCAAGAAATCTGGTGGTAGCTGGTACTGTCCTAGATGTCAGCTGTTGGCCTGTTAACACTGTGAGCTCAAGTGCACTGTGCATCATCCCCAGAGCATGGAGCCATGGTTACACCACAAGTGTAGTAATTGTGTCTTGGTGTCTTTGTGGGACTCTGAAAGCTGGTGAGAAATGAACCCAGGGAAGCAGTACAGCCTAGTGGTTAAGAGTCCGGCCTCAGGGGGCGGCGGTATTGCAGGCCTTTAATCCCAGCACTCAGAAGACAGAGGCAGGCAGATCTCTGTGAATTCGAGGCCAGCATGGTCTACAAGAGCTAGTTCCAGGACAGGCTCCAAAGCTACACAGAGAAACCCTGTCTCAGAAAACAAATAAACAAAAAAGAGTTCAGCCTCTGGTGCTAGCCATTGGTGTCGGGGCTCCTTTATAGTCCTGCATGTTAGAGGAGTATTTGTTGTTGTTTTGGGGAGGGGGGGCATTTTTTTTTAATTTTAAACACTTCAGATTTTTTTTATTATTATTATGTATACAATATTCTGTCTGTGTGTATGTCTTCAGGCCAGAAGAGGGCACCAGACCTCATTACAGATGGTTGTGAGCCACCATGTGGTTGCTGGGAATTGAACTCAGGACCTCTGGAAGAGCAGGCAATGCTCTTAACCACTGAGCCATCTCTCCAGCCCCCCGAGGGGGAGCATTTTTAAGACAGGATTTCTCTGTGTAGCTTTGGAACCTATCCTGGAACTTAATTTATAAACCAGACTATCTTTGAACTCACAGAGATCCGCCTGCCTCTGCCTCCCGAGTGCTGGGGTTAGAGGTGTGCCACCACTGCCCATCTTGGGTTTTGTTTTTTGTTCTTTTGTTTTGTTTTGTTATTTCAATTACAGACGTTTTTAGACTTTTCTTTCTCCCTGTATAGTGAGAAAAACAATGATGTGCCTGTTTCAGAGCTGATGGAGCCTGGCAGAAAGCACATGCTGGCAAATGCCAGCTACATACTGTTGTGGTTGCATTGTTAATATGGAAATGAGATTTAAAAAAAAAATTGGGGGCCTGGAGAGATGGTTCAGAGGTTAAAAGCACTGACTGTTCTTCCAGAGGTCCTGAGTTCAATTCCCAGCAACCACATTGTGGCTCAAAACCATCTGTAAGGAGATCTGGTGCCCTCTTCTGTCCTGCAGCATACAGGCAGACAGAAGACTGTATACATAATTAATAAATAAATCTTTTTTAAAAAAAAAAAAAGAGCATGCTGGTTGCTGTCCCAGAGGACCCGGATTCAATTCCCAGCACCCACATGGCAGCTCACAACTGTCTATAATTCCAGTTTAGATCCAGGGGACCTGACACCCGTGGCAAAACACCAATGCATATAAAATAAAAAAATAAATTAAAAAAATAAGTCCCAGGAGAATTGATGTGATGTCATCATCTTTCCTCTTCCTGTAGATCTGGGTGAATAGCCCCCACACAGCTAGTGGCTACTACACCATCTATGATAGCGAGACTCTTCAGGCTGATCATTTCAACACCCGCCTGAGCTTCGGGGATGCTGCGCAGACTCTCTGGGCCCGCACAGGGTACCTTGGGTTTGTCCGCAGGACGGAGCTCACAGCAGCCACTGGAGGTAACTTCCACCCCTGTTCTCCTTCCCAGCTTCCTTGTTTGCATAACCCTGGCTAGGCTGTTGCACCCACCTGTGGAGTATAGTCTCCCTCTGCGCCCCTGAGCACATTGTGGAGCCACATTGCCCTCTGAGGACTGTCAGGATGAGAAGCCCTCTAGACTTTGGCAGGAGCATTCTAGAACAGGGTACTGGAGCAGCTTGGAACTCCAGGCACAGCAGAACTTTCTCAGGGCTGATACCAGTGCTGAACAAGCCTGGGATAACTACCTCTTCCCTCATCTCTTCTTCCCTGGCTTGCCATTGAGTCCAGGAGAAACAGAAACATCCTTTATCACTAAGAGCGAGTTGGTTCTTTTTTTTTTTTTTTAAATGGTCTTACTACATAGCCATGACTGGCCTCCAACTCAACAGAGATTCGTCTGCCTCTGCCTCTAGAGTGCTGGGATTAAAGGCGTGCATTACCCTGCTTGGCCTGGGAATTGTTTTGGAAATGGGTCAAACCTGCTTTTTGGCAACACTCTTTCAGAGGATTCCCTAATGTCGTCTTCTGCCCAGCCAATCATCCTGGCTCCTCTGCTGTCCAGCTTCACACTTCCTTCCTCACTGGCACTGGGAGCCACTGCAGAATTCTCAACACTAGCTGTGTTTGTATACCAAAGCCATGAGCTCTAAGGCTTCAGCCAGACCACACCATTTCTCCTGAGCTGAGCAGTATGTATCATTTCTTCATAGTTCTTGGGGAGATGAGGGCTGTGCTTCCTGACCAGGTGACTGTGAGCAGCCACTCTGTGTCCTCTGCCTCACGGACATGATGTGCGGTTCAGTGTTGTGGTACAGTCAGTGCCAGCACGGAGGGCAGATCGTTCCTCAGTGGTTGCCATGTTTCTGCTGTTATTTCATCATCAGAAACCCACTCTCACCAGGAAAGTACTGCAAATGCTACTTTCCTTCTGTGTGCTTGCTGGGCTGGACCTGGCGAGTCTCCCTGCCCTGCAGTCTAGAAGCTGTGGTGCAGGCCCCCTCCCCGTACCCCCGTTTGTCTCAGGCCCTCCCCTTCCACTCCTCTTCCCCTCCCCTCTCCCAGCCATATCTGGCTAATTCTTGTTCATTTGTCAAAACTCAAACATGGCATCAACATTTCTAGAAGCTCTCTTTAAATCCTTGATTAGATTAGGGCTAATGGGTCTCCCCAGCTCCTCAGATTTCATGCCTACTCCTGCCTTTGTTGTTGTTGTTTGTTTGTTTTTTGAGGCAGGGTTTCTCTATAGCTTTGGAGCCTGTCCTGAAACTCACTCTGTAGACCAGGGTGGCCTCCAACTCACAGAGATCCTCCTGTCTCTGCCTCCCGAGTGCTGGGTTTAAAGGTGTGCACCACCACCACCCGGCTATACCTCTGCCCTCCTTACACTTAACTTGCTACAGGGAAATTCCTGTTTGTATCTCCCTCAGTTAGGTGTTTTCAAAAAATATTTTTAGTTGCTAACCTAATTATTGTATGTATATGTGCTCAAGCATAAGACAGGAGGGTGAGAGAGAATCTGTGTGTATATTGGAGGACAGTTTGCAGGGTTCCTTCCCCCGTGTATATCCTGTTGACAGGAACCTCCATCTGCTGAGCTGTCTCACCAGCCCCCATTTAGGTCTTCTTCTGTGTCTCCCTAGCACTTAGCACAACTGCTATCACCTAATAGTAACAACAATGGCTATTTTTAGCACCTAACAATGTACCTACCACACACCATGTCAGCTACCTTGCAAAATCATTTAAGGTGTTTTTTTTTTTTTTTTAAATTTTTATCCTAGTGAGATGGCTCGGTTGTTGGAGGATTTGTAGCTCTTCCAGAGGACCCAGGTTCAGTTCCCAGCACCCACATCAAGTGGTTTACAACCACCTGTAATTCCAGCTCTGGGGTTCCAATATCTTCTTCTGGACTCTTAGGGCACGTACAAACACATAGAGACACTTATTCACACAATTAGAAAATAAAATCTTGCTGGGTAGTGGTGGCATATGACTTTAATCCCAAAGGTGGCAGAGGCAGGTGGCTCTCTACGAGTTCGGGGCCAGCCAGATCTACAAAACAAGTTCTAGGACAGCCATGGCTGTTACATAGAGAAATCCTATCTCAAAAAAAAACCCCAAAACAGAACAAAAAAATCTTAAAAAAATTGTGTGTGTTCACGCATACTACCACCCAGATGTGGAGGTCAGAGGCCAACTCTGTAGTCATTTCTTTCCGTCCACCATTGTGTGGACTCTTTATGTGGAACGTACTTACCAGGCCGTCTCTCCATTCCAAACTAAACAATATATTCCTTATAGCAGCTGTTTAACCTGATCTCTGTCCACAGAGCAAGTAGTCGGATTCGCCAGCTGACTGGCAATATCAACCCTGTGCTCTTAAGGCCGACACTTTATGGTATTTAGTGGGCGTTTGAAGCGTATTTCTCTTCTTTCTTTCAGAACGTCATGATGCCTTGTATGTTGTGGGTGCGCTGGATGAGACACTGGAACTGAGAGGATTGCGGTACCACCCGATTGACATCGAGACCTCCGTGTCCCGAGTCCACAGGAGCATTGCTGAATGGTAATCCCACACCTTTTTCTCACTGCAACTTTGTTAATCAGCCATTTATTCCATTCTACCTAACCAGAGTAAGGAAATATGCGAACCACTTTCCATCTTGCTTCCACGGTCCATTGTGGCCATCACAGCCTGTTCACCAGAACCCAAAAGGCCTTGGAGCTACCACAGAACATGGTGGGAAGCTGTGGGCTGAATTCGTTTGTAAGGGTAGATAGACCCTCATAGGTCGCCTGCCTCCAGGAAGTCAGTATAATGTGGCAGGAAATAACTCTGACTTTAGGCTCAAAAGACACAATTTAGAGACTCACCTTGAACTTGCTAGGTGGCCCAGTAGGTCAGGTGTTTAGCACTAAGTCTGGTGACTTGAGTATAGTTTCCAGAACCCCCACTAGTTGTCCTCTGACCTCTACATGTGAGCTGTAGTCAACACATACACTTCCTCTCTCATAAATAATAAATAAATGATAAAAATGACTGATAATAAAGGTTTACCTTCCCATACTTCCTTGTTCTTCCCGATCACCAAAAGGCCCAAATCAGCCTGTGCTTTTTAAAGCATCAGTGGGAAGCAGGTGAAAGTGCTGGGATTGCTATCTCAGCTGGTTCTCTCAGTGCAGGAATGTGCCTGCATTTCTCTTCTCAGGGATTAGCCAACCTCATACTGACAGAAAATTCATTAAAATTAACACTGAGTTTCACCTACTAGTTTTCATTCTGGGTTTTTGTTTATTTTTGTTTTTAACTTGGGTGTCTGTGTGAGTATATGCCACATGTACAAAGGTACCCATGAAGTCCAGAAAAGATGTTGGATGGCCTGCAACTGAACTTCCAGGTGATTATGAGTCACCCAAGAGAGGTTCTGAAGTCAGAGCTCTCATCTTCTCAAGCAGCAGCTGGTACGCTTAGCCACTGAGCCATCTCTCCAGCACCTCTTTTTTGGTTTTGTTTGTTTGTTTTGAAGCAGGGTCTCTCTCGATAGCCCTAGATATCCTGGAACTATCTTTGTTCTCTTTGTAGACCAGGCTAGCCTCAAAATTAGGCGATCCACCTGCCTTTGTCTCCCAAATGTTATTCTGGGTTATTCTTTTTTGGGGGAGGGTGGTTTCAAGATAAGGTTTCTTTCTCTCTGTAGTTCTGGCTGTCCTGGAACTCACTCTGTAGATGAGGCCAGCCTTGAAATCACAAAGATCCACCTGCCTCTGCCTCCCAAGTGCTGGAATTAAAGGCATGTGCCACCATGGCCTGGCTTATTCTGTGTTTTTAATGTATAGTGTTCTTCCCTGTTTAACTGCTGTGTCCTTTTCCAGCTTGTCCCTTGTTGCATAACCACATTTTCTATGAGAGCTGCTCATACTTTCCAAATACTCCTTTGTCTAAAGATGTCCTTGCTGGGCATGCCAGCCTGTATTTATATGCCAGCACTGAGGAGGCTGACACAGGAACATTTGGAACTGCTCACGAGCCTGGGCTACCCAAGGAAGAAATCCTGCCTCAAAACAAACTCACAAAAAAGGGTCTTCCATGTTGCCTGGGTCAGAATCTTTCTCTAGACCTAAACCAGACTGATCAAGGCAAGAACATCTTTGCATGAAGAGACTTTTGTAAAGCATGTAGGGAAGCTGGTGTCAGAACTGATTTTATATATTTGACTTTATTACAACTAATTATTACTTATAGTTATCTTTACTATGGGATCATTTTAAAAATCTGTTTAGCATTGTAGATCGAAAGCCAGCCCATCCCTTCTGACTGAGTCATCTGCTCAGTGGGAAGTGTGTCTCCCTCACAGTACTTTCACACAGTGCTGACACATTGCAAGCAACAGAAATTGTGTTCAAGAAAGTTTAAGTAAACCAGGCAGTGGTGGGCACACCTTTAATTCCAGCACTCGGGAGGCAGAGGCAGGCAGGTGGATCTCTGTGAGTTCAAGGCCAGCAAGGTCTACAAGAGCTACACAGAGAAAGTCTATCTTATGGGGCAGGGGAGCTTTAGTAATATCAGATATACTGGCTCACCTTAGCTAGAGAGACCCTGTCTCAGACAAAGAAACCTAAGCTGCAGAGTAAATGGGAAGGACACCTGGCTCCTCTTTCTACCCTCTGTAAAGATTGAGTCTAGGGACAAGGGGCAGGTGGACAATTAGGGATTGCTGCCTCCTCTCTCTGAAGCTATCGGCACCTGTATTGATCCTTCTTTCCTGAACCCAGTCCCAAACCATCAGACATGTGTGTTCTCAGTTCAGGCAGTGCTACTCTGAGAAACTGCTGGAAGGCTCAGCTAGTCAGCTGTACACACACATGGCTGTTGGCCTCTGACTTTCAAGGAGAAAAGACAGTTCATGGGGGGTGGGCACAAATCTCTGAAGACCAGGGCTGGCTTGCAGGTAAAGGCACTTGCCAAGCCTGGTGACATGAGTGGGATCCTCAGGACCCAGGTGTGGAAGGAGCGACCTGACCTCTCCACCGCCCCCGTGCGCTCCCCACAATGAATGCGGAAGAAGTATTTTAAAGATGAAGAGCAGTTAGGAGCACTTCTGCTTTTGCAGAGGATGCGGGTTCTGTTCTCAGCACCTGTGTGGTAGCTCACACGGAACCAGCTGGAACTCTAGTTCCAGGGGATCAGACTGTCTCTTCTGACCTCCTCGGGCTTTGTATGCTTACAGGGCATTTATATGTATGTAGGCAAACAGCCATACTTGTAAAATCAAAATCCTAAGTATTTTTAAAGGATGAATCTTAACTGAGTGTCATTGGATTTCAGTGCTGTGTTCACCTGGACCAACTTGCTCGTGGTGGTTGTGGAACTGTGTGGCTCTGAGCAGGAAGCACTGGACCTGGTTCCTCTGGTGACCAATGTGGTCCTAGAAGAACATTACCTCATCGTTGGAGTTGTGGTTGTGGTGGACCCTGGGGTCATCCCCATCAACTCTAGAGGAGAGAAGCAGAGGATGCACCTCCGAGACAGCTTCCTGGCTGACCAGTTAGACCCTATCTATGTGGCTTATAACATGTAGCCAGCCCCGTAGGGGCCGTCCTAAGTATCAGACAGACTGAAGACCTGTGGCTAGAGGAAGGCTTGCCGCTAACATGAAGATGGCTCCAGTGTGGCCTTCATCTCATCTGTGGGATTCTGCAGTCACAGAACACACAGGAAAGGGGAATTCTGTGGTTACAACGAAAACATGTTAGCAATGCGTCAGACCTGACTTTGGCATCCGCGACAGCACGTTACTAAAGCAGTTACATGCATGTTGCATTTTCCTCAACTGGCATACATACCTGTATTTTTACCTAATGTTTTAGACTTTTATAAGGGAGTTTAATGAATTCATATGAAGGGGTAATCTGTGTCCCACAGTTCCCCACTCTGTACTGTATTTTGCCATTTTCCTGTAGTCAGGTGTTCTGCGAGGTTTCTTCAAATGAAACCACCAAGCTTGAGTCAGCCCATAAGCAAATCAAATGACTGACGTGAGAGCTGCTCTGTATGTCTAGTTGTCAGTTACAAGCCTCTGACCGTATTTAAACGTGTAAATAAGAGTGCACATAGCTCGGCTAAGGAGCTGAGCAGTCGGCTCCCCCAACTGCAGCTGGTGTGGCTGAGCTTCCAGCGGCACCGGGGTGGTGGGACTGCCTGGCCTAGCGGTGCAGCGCCTCCTGTCTGTACGAAAGCTGCCTGGATTTGTTTTTAAAATTTATATTCCCAGAATTAGCTTAAGCTTCTAAGGATTCTTTAACCCATTCCTCTGAGCTAAGAAAAAAAAAATCTCATGTCGGGATTTTAGAGGTAGCTAAGATTCATCAATTCCTAACCTACTCTATGGAACCATGGTAGTTCACTCGGGCCAGTGTTGAAACTTTTTCCGCGTCTAGAGTGACTATGGAGAATTGTGAGTTCCGCTCTTTTCATGCTCTGTGTCTGCAGATTCCATGTAGAGCTTCCCCCGCCCAGGAAAACTGAGGAGTGAGCTCATGAACTGTAGGCCACGTGTGCACATCTTAACACTAACCAGTCTGGGCTGCCAGAATAGCCGGGCTCCTCGGAAACAGGGAAGTCTGATGTATGCAAGAAACTCTTTTGAAATAACTGGTGTCTGGGCCACACTCAGTGTGGGACTGAGTTTGACCTTAGGCTCAGTTTCCTTTCTTTGGTCTGAAACTTCATGTATTTGAATATAGTTAAATTTTATTATTTTTTTCTTACAGAAATATTTTTAAAAATTAAAGAAAACTTCAAGTAAAAGAATTAACCTGTTAAATCAGAACGGTTCTCTTTGACCCGTTCCGGTCTATTGTAAATATTTATTTAGACTATTTTGATAATACATATTATTTACCCCACTGTAACATCCTGTAAACTAAATGTGTTTTTAAGCAATTTGTAAGACTTGTAATTACCCTAAAAATAAGGTTTATTAAGCAAAGACCAGACTCTTCACCAGGGCAGCACTCCTGGGTTGCCTTCAAGCTCATGACTCAGCCACTATGGCCCCTTCTCCATATCCTCATCCTCCTGGCTTGTGCTCCACAGAAGGAAGACCTCCAGAGAAGCTCTTACTTCAGGACCTTTGCATTTTGGGTAGGATTGGTTTGCATGTGATGAGGGAGGTCTTGGGTGTACAGGAAAGGGGTGCCTCCTGAGTATCCCATCCAGAGACCCCTTCATCTACGAAGAAAACAGCCTGCTTATTTTGGAAGTCTTAAACTTTTTTGCTTTGTTTATTTTTTTGAGACAGGGTCTTTCTACATAGCCCAGGCTGACCGTGAACACCGTCCCCATGCTGGGGTTGCAGGCATAAGTAAACTCTTAAAGCAGTTTGTGATGATTTACTAAGCAAAGCAGGGCCTGGTCAACAATTCTATGCCAATAATCTGCAAATTCTATGAGAAAAAAAATGTAGACCAATCTATCTTGAATGATAACTTTTTTTTTAATTTTGATTTTTTTTTGAGACAGGGTTTCTATCTATGTAACAGTCCTAGCTGGCCTGGAACTTGCTCTGTAGACCAGGCTGGCCTTGAACTCACAGAGATCCCCCTGCTTCCCAAGTGCTGGGTTTAAAGGTCTGAACCACCACAGGCTGGCTCTTGAATGGTAACTCTTACAAATGCAAATTATTAACTTGGTATCACCAGTCAGGAACACATTGCAATAAATGTGAGCCACATCTGTAATTTAAACTTTCCTAATAACCACCTTTTAAAAAAGAAGTTTCATTGTGTAACCTGAGCTGCTTCCTCCCTATGTGGACCAGGTTGGTGACAAATTCATGAAGATCTTCCTGCCTCTGCTTCCTGAGTGCTGGGATTAAATATGTGCGCCACTATACTACCCATCTGAACACATCTTTTAAACATTTCTTAAAGCATATGGCATTGATTTTAATATATTTACCAAAAGTACTATTTCTTTGATATAAAATTATTGAATTTTTTTTTATTTTGGAAATCTTATGTGTAGTAAACATGTTTTTAGTTCAGGTCTCAGTGACCAATGTGGCTAGTGGCTGTCATTGCTCCATCAGGTGCAGGACTGTAGCCAGCTTATCTCACGGTGACCAGCTTTCAGTACTTAGGGTGACTGTCGAGTTGTCATTCCCAGGTCTTCTTTAAAAACGATGCTGGGGTGGAACATAGGGCTTGTGGCGAGCTCATCCTACCTAGCCAGGCTGGCCTGGAACCTCTGCTCTTCTTTCCTGTCCAGATTGCAGCAGACCCTTTCTGATCATGACTACTCTCCCCCGCCCTCCATTGCTTTGGGCCCATCCCCTGAAACCAGATTGCACAGTAGAGAACAGCAGCTGAGCGCCACCCCTGGGGAGCCTCATCCCTGCTCCCTCCTCCATGGGTCTGTGCTAGACCCTGCAGTAGACCTTAACAAGAGTTCCTCCTTCCACATCACTGGAAACTTCCTGGCTGAACTGACAGTGAAAGCAGTCTTGAAATGAAGTCCATCATTAACAAATCAAAAACAGCCTGCAGCCCTGCCTGACCATTGGACATGAGGGCTAGGCTGAACTTAGTTACACAAAGGAAAACTTTTTTATTTTTTATTTTGTGTTTGTGTGTGTATAATAGGACATTACTGTATAGCCCGTGCTGGCCTCAAACTTGAGACTCTTGCCTCAGCCTTCCAGTGCTGAAATTACAGACTTGTGCAACCGATCACACTTGGCAAGAGAAATCATCTTATCTGGAAATCTGTGAGCTTTTGTCTGGCCCTTAGGAGAGAGACTGAGATGGACCAGCTGCACACATGCCCTCCTGTGCATCTGAGCCCTCAGAATGCCCACCATGCCCACAGAGACCCTGTTCTGCCCAGTACCAAGTCCTTCAGTGTGCGGTCGTACTGATCCGGCTGCTGAACCACGCCTGCCTCCTCACTTGAGCTCTTTGGCAGTGCTTGCTTAATGCTTCCCTTGAATCCCAAGGGCCTGAGGCCTTAGGCTCCTGTTAAGGTCTCTGCCCCAAGCATGGTGCTCAGTATCTTGGCCAAATAAGTTACTTTCCTTGAATATCCGAGAATTTTAAAGTAAAGCAATGGGGACTTATCCCCTTACCCTGGAACTCCAGTATAACTAACTGCCTTAGAGTGGTCCGTGTCATGTTTTCATGTGAAACCCAGCGTGTCCGGAGCTGGTGGCTGCAGTCCTCCGTATGCACAGTAGGCCTTGGCTTTCACTCAACAGTCCTGACTTAGACGTGTGTAGGATGGGCCGTAAGATTTGTCCCGAGGAAGAGACTGCAAAGACATGAAGTTTTTAGTCCTCAATGCTGTTTTGTTTACTTTCTGTCAAGATGATATTTACCCCTGTCAAATTCAAACCATAGTACTGTGTAATTATGTATAAAGGGTTTTTTATTTATTTGAAATTAGATTAGATATACATTTTTAAATTTAACATCTGGCTGGACAGTGTTCTATTAACTCATTGAATGTGTTTCCTTTGTCTTGTGTTAATAAATATTGATGCTTGATTGTGTTTAATCCTTCACACATTTTGCTTATGTGTGTGTGGTGTGGGGACTGCACCCAGGTCTCCTGAAGGTTAGGCATTCACTCTGGCACTCAGCCATACCCCTTTTGGGGACTGACAGAACACAGCCTCAGACAGTAAGGTGACTGTGGTGGCCCAGCAGAGAGCTCCAGAGCTGTGCACTGAGGGCGGCTGGGGCAAGGGCACAGTAATGCTGCTTTGTAAATCAATTGGGTTGCTTTTTCTTTCTCTTCTCATTTTGTCTTTCTTGGTTTTTTAAGAAAGAGTTCCTTTGTGTAACAGCTCTGGCTGTCCTGGAACTCGCTTTGTAGACCAGGCTGGCCTCGAACTCAAAGAGATTCGCCTGCCTCTGCCTCCTGAGTGCTGGGTTCAGAGGTGTGTGCCACCACTGCCCAGCTTGGATTTTGTTCTTAGATAATTTTTTACTATTTTTTATCTTTGTATAAGTGTTTTGCTTGATTTATGTATGTGCACTGAGTGCGTGCCTGAGAAGGTCAGAAGGTACTGAGTCCCATGAAACTGGAGTTAATGATGATCGTGAGCCAGCATGAGGGTGCTGGGACCCAAACCTGAGTCCTCTCTGCAAGAGCAATAGTGCTCTTAACTGACAAGCTGTCTGTCTGCAGCCCCTTGCTTTTTTTTCCCCCCTCAGGGTAATATTACATTTGAATTTATTTTGTTGGGATGAGGGGAGCTTGCTGTGGTGCCTGTGTGGATGCCAAAGGGAGTCAGTTCTCTTTGCACCGTGGGATCCCAGGTATTCATCATCACAGGTCCCCAGGCTTGGCTCTAAGCATCCTTAACCACTTGACCCAGCTCTCAGGATTTCTCAGAGTAAAACGTTTAGCTTCTTCCCTCTGAGCCTGTGGCACGTCTGGGTTGCAGGCTGTTCTTCTGCCTTGAGCTGGACTGAGTTCCGGCCTTCCTGGATGTGAGGATTCATTTGCTGTAGTATTTCCTGGTCTCAGGAAACCTGAAGGGAATCCTTTCAGTATGGACCAAACTATTTTGGCATTGAGGCCCTGCCTCCCCTGCTTGACAGACTGTTACCAAGTGATGCCCACCAAAAACTGTGCTTGAGAAAAACACAAGGTGTGCCTTCGGGGCAATGCAGGAACCAGTCATGTATAGGAAAGTGTGCCTTCAGGGCTATGCAGGAACCAGTCATGATGCATAGGGCAGTTAGGATCAGTGGGTGACAGCAGGCAAGGAGGACAGTAAGACCAGCTGGAGGCCATCATCTGAACTGAAGTTGGATTTTACTTTTTTTAAGTCATGGTCTCTAGCCTAGGCTGGCCCCCAAACCCATCATGATCCTCCTGCCTCAGCCTTTGGAATTCTGGGATTAGAGATGAGAGTTACCATGTCTGACCTGAACTAAAGTTTTGAAAGATGACATAGGCAAGATAAAACAAGTAGGAAAAGCAGGCATGGTGATTCACACGTGTAACCCCAGCCCAGGGAAGCAGAGCAGGAGGAATTCAGGCTTGTTCAAAGCTAGCCTGGACCACATGGGACTCGTCTCAACAACCTATGTGTTTTGGGCACTGAGTCATTAGAATTGCCATGATGTAGGGCTGGAGATGGCTCAGTGGTTAAGAGCACTGGCTGTTTTTCCAGAGGACCTGGGTTCAGTTCCCAGCACCCACATGGCAGCTCACAACTGTGTGTAACTCTACCTCCAGGGGTCTGATACCCTCACACAGACATGCATGCAGGCAAAATACCAACACACATAAATGTAGCTCAGAACTGAGAATAATAGAGGGTTATTTATTTAGGGGTAGACTCACAAATCCGAATCCTCTGCTGGAACGGAGAACAGAAACTGAACCCCACAGCCTGAAAAGAGACTAGACTCACACTTCACATCGGCCTAAATAGTATAGCAGTCTACGTCCCAGTGGGTGGGTAACTTAAGGGCTACTGGCTGTAGGATTTCCTACAGTAACTCCCCCTTTGTTTAAATAAGAGAGTTCTAAGCCTAATACAAAATTATATACAATAAGAACAAATCTTTTATCATAACTAAGGAAAACTATAATTATAAATTCTTTAACTCCATCAAAGACTTCAGAAGGATATAATATTACCTAAGTAAACAGAAAGTACATTGTAAGCAACTTCCAAAACTCTAGAATTGACAGAGACATCTCACTACCTGGACAGTCACCCAAAGTTCTTCTGTACCACTAGGGCATCCATCTTCAGCCTATTGGCCCATAGTATCCAGCAGACTTTTCCATGAAGCAGGAAATTTCAGACAGTTCCACCTATATTGGCATTTTGTCAGTCACTTTCTTCTGTGTCTTGCAGAATGTCTAGCAGACTCGTTCATGAAGTAGGAACCCCAAAGGACGGTCTCACCTTTAGGCAAGTTCAGCAGTCATTTCTCTGTGGGTCCTGCAGGTCCAGTTCAGCAGTCCAGGCAGGAGCAGTTTCTTGCCCAAATGGCTAGCAAACTACATAAGGAGCCTCTTTAATGCCCATCTTCCTTTTGAAGTAATTGGTGCTGCCCGGAGCAAATGTGTCTGATTGTCATGAAAAGTCTTAAGTTATTAAAACATTTTAAATGCCATATTCCGTAGTCTTTGAAAGATATGAAGAATGCCTATCTAACTGAAATATATCTCTATACATCTAGAAAATCTAAGTAACATGCTTGACTATTATAGATGATTATCTATTAACCTATATTTTAATTATACAATAATACCTTAATCAAGAGGAGAAATATACATATAACAAAATTCACCTTAGATGTGTATCAGTAAACCAAGATCCATACCAATGCAAATCTCTATAGCATATCCCCCTTTAAATGCATGCAGGCAAAATACCAACACACACAAATGTAGAACAAATAATAAAAAACCAGAGATAGATATTGGGGTTCAATCTGAAGGTCAGAAAAGTCAGAAAAGCAAAACAGCCAACCACTGACTATTAACTCTACCTCAGTCCAAAATGGTGATGGTGATTCTGCTTCCAGGAATCAGAATGAGACTGTGTATACTGTATATAAGACTGTCTCCTCCCAACTGGGTCTTTTTTTTTTTTTTTTTTTTGAGACAGGGTTTTGCTGTAGCTTTGGCGCCTGTCCTGGAACCTGCTCTTGTAGATCCCCTGTCTCAGCCTCCCAAGTGCTGGGCCACTATCATCCGGCTCCTCCTATTTTATATTCCTCTCTAGTGCTGGGATTAAAGGTGAACACCACTACTGCTCAGTTTTGATACAACTAGTGTGGCTACTGGGATCAAAGGTGTGTGTCAGCCGGGCAGTAGTTGCACACGCCTTTAATCCCAGTACTCAAGAGGCAGAGGCAGGCAGATCTCTGTGAGTTCAAGACCAACCTGGTCTACAGAGTGAGTTCCAGGACAGACTCCAAATCTACAGCAACCCTGTCTCAAAAAAAAAAAAAAGTGTGTCACCACTGCCTGGTCTGTCAGGCTGATCAATGTGGTTGTTTTACTCTCTGATTCAGGCAAGCTTTATTTATTAAAATACAAATGAATTATCATTACACATAAAAACAAATCACTTTTTGAAAAAATGCTATGATGTGGAGGATCTGTGAGACTTTAAATTTTATATGTTGGCTGGTTGATGCCACCAGCTACTAACCATTTCAGAACTGTCACATGAACACATGGACTCCTACTTAGAGGTTGATTTTAGTCTGTGCTATTTCTGAATGGACATCTAAACATTGAAAGATTCCAGCAATAAGTTCCAGAGGTTGTGTTCCTCCAGAAGATTTTGTTCTGGTGGAAGCTCCATACCAGCCCCTGGTATCCATACGTCCAAAACACTTAGAATGTTCTAGTGAAAGCTCCACCTCAATCCCCCTCCCCCGTCTCTCCCCAACCCTGTCTCATCTCAGAAAGCCTGCCAAACAGGGCTCCTCTCCCAGAGGTACTCAAGACCACTCCCACATGCTATTTAAACTGCCCCTCCCCCCAGAAAACAGACGTGGTTAGGGGCAGGGAAATCATCCTGGAGCATTTTACCCATTAAATCTGGGCTTTTTCCAATTTGGTTTGATGTGGTCTGATTTGGATTGATGCATGGCCGAGAGGCAGGAACTTCAGATTTATCAGCCACTTGGTAGCCAGGTGACAATACCTTGCCTTTCTTCTTTAACTCTATAATGGCCAGCGATGTGTTCTCATGTAAACAGGCTTACCTGTTCAGGATGTGAGGCTTCTTCTGTCCTCAGAGCTTCAGTCATCATACCTGAGAGTGTCTGTGGGCGTGTGAGTCATAACTCACAAACACAGTGACCAATAGCTGTGTCACTGTGGCATTCGGTGGCATTAGTAGAGGCAGAAAGTAATCTACTAAGATGACAATGTTAGAAAGGATGATGGCTTGCAGTATAGAAAAAGAGCCAGATGGGCTGGAGAGACGGCTCAGTGGTTAAGAGCACTGACTGCTCTTCCAGAGGACCCCGGTTCAATTCCCAGCACCCACATGGCAGCTCACAACTGTCTGAAGATGCAGTTGCAGGGGATCTGACACCTTCATATAAAAGTGCATATAAAATAAAGTTGAAAAGAAAAGAAGGAGTCAGCTGATCTGGCTCAGAGGTTAAGAGCACTTTCAGCAACCACATGGTGGCTCACAGCCATCTATAATGAGATCTGGTGCCCTCTTCTGCCCTGCAGGTATACATGTGGTACAGAACACTGTATACAGAATAAGTAAATAAATCTTAAAAAAAAAGAAAGAAAAGAAGGATGGGGATGAAGAGATGGCTCAGTAGTTAAGAGCCCTGATTGCTCTTTCAATTCCCAGCACCCAGGCTAACAACTGTCTGTAACTTAAATGATACACAGACATATGCAAGCAAAACACTAATGCCCATAAAGGGGGGGGGAGGTCACAAGCAGAAAATTTCCCCTATATCCCAACAGAAGTAAGCTAAGGAGCAAGTTACTCCAGCTGGGCATGGTAGTATATGGCTTTTATTCTCTTTTAGTCTCTGTAACCTGAAG